CAGGTCTCCGCGATTCCCTCTGCGCTCCTCCCTCTCTCGGCCTCCCTGGCCAGCCTGTCCGCCCTCAGGGCCTCAGCCAGCCTCCGCCTGGCCCTCTTGACCCTGCGATCCTGCCTGCGGATGTCTGCGGTCCTCACCGGCTGGCTGGGCAGGGGCAGCGGGAGGTGGAGACCCGCTCCCTGGCTGCGCTGCGTGCGCGCTGCGTTCCGGCCAGGGGCACTCCCGGGGCTGCCGCGCGGACCCCCAGCGCCAGCCTCGCCCAGGCACTGATCTGCAACTCCTGGCGCGATGATTCTCAAGGCATTTGCGAAGTCCAGTGGGCTGAAAAGCTCTCCCTCGCTGCCGCAGGCCTGGAGCCCCTGCAGCCTCCCATACGCACAGAGTTGCTGGGGCTTCTCCAGATTCTCCTCCCCTCGCTTGCGCCTGACCTCGTCGCCGGGGTGGGACCTGACTCTGGTCACCGACTGCGGGAAGATGCAGCTGGTCAGCCTGACCGGTAGCTCCCACCTCAGAGCTCGCCTCCGCCTGGCCTTGGCCACGTGGATCTCTCGTTTCCTCTGCAAAGCCGGGGGTATCATACTTCTCTTGAGCTTCCCCTTGAACGAGAAAACAGAATGTGAAATTTAAACATCGGCTACGGAAGATCAGCTCAGCTCCGTCGAATCTTCCAACCAGCCTGTCTGCCTGGGGAAAAGCGTCTCCAGCGTCACTGCGCACACCAAACATTGGGGACGTTTATTCAGATGCAGATTTCTGGACCTGAACTCGAGTAGGTCTGGAGAGGGGCCCAAGAGTTTGCATATCCCCGTGTTCCCAGACGAGGCTGGCGGTGCAGGGGCAGGCCCACACATGGAGACTGGATCCTGGGACCTCACACAGCTAATGGGAGCCAAGGACAGAAAGCTCAAGGTCACTACCCAGCACCAATTCCAGACCATGTCCCTCCTGCATCCTCCCCTGAGGACGCTACTCTCTCCTCTTCCCTGTCATCGTCAGCTGGTGCCTCCAAACCTGCTGTCACTGGGACACAGGGGTCACAGACGACCTTGCTGAGGTCACCAGACCTCAGATTTCTCCATATCCCTTTTTACTGTGCTTTAGGACACACCATGACCTTCTAGTTCCTATATTTCCTTTACCCCCCCGCCACAGAAATCACACCCTACTTAATCCTTAAATACTCACTTCCACACCCAGACCCACCTTCACCTAAAATGTTCCTGCTCTTAAACGAAAACCTCAGAAACACCCTATTTCCTTTCTATGTAGTGCTAATAAATGCACTTCATTACAATCCAACAATGACAGAAACTTCTGATGCTATACTGCAGTAGGTGATTAATTACTAAGATTTGAAATCTTTTCTCACTCACTCTAACCCAATTATAATACTCCAGCCTCATTAGTCTGCTTAAAATGCAAACCTAATTGGTACACTTTCTAGTTTAAACCCTTTATTTCTGTACTTGCCATTTTACTTCTGTTGTCCTGGTGTAATTAATATCACCCCTTTCATTACCCAAGATGTCTCAGTTTGGAGGGAAAATTACTTTTCCCCCTAGTTATAATAAGATAGGGAACCGGCAGGGTCTATGGGATAAGGAGTCATAAGACCCCAACCAAGGTCTCTGATAAAACAGGAAATGATGGAGAAGCCGCCCAAACCCCACTAAAACCAATATGGCCACAAAACACGACCTCAGGTGACCCTCACTGCTCATTATGCCCTGCTTATAGTGCATTAGCACATTAGAAGACACTAGAGTTTGCAAATACCATGGCCACTCCCAGAAGTTACCCTATATGCTTTAAAAAGAGGACGAATCCTCCGTTCTAGGAACTCCCCACTCCTTCCCCAGAAATCTGATGAATAATCCTTCCTCCCTTTAACATAAAATTAAATAGAAGTTATAAAATAAGATTCCAGAAACTCACAAAGTGCCACTGTCTGTTGCTCTGAGAGAGAACTGCTGCCCTGTCTATGGGGCAGCCTCCTTTTTCTTCTTTTCTAACTTTGATAAACTTGCTTTTGACCTACTCAGTTGGCTTGCTCTTGAATTCTTTCCTGAGCAAAGCCAAGAACCCCCTTGGCCTTCAGGATGGACTCCAGTTTTGGGGTCCACTTTCCTGTATCAGTAGAGCACCTATTATGTGCCAAGCTGTGCATTAAAACT